GCCAATGTCTTCATCAAACCGAAGTTGCGCAGGTTACCGATGTAGCCGTTGGTTGCAGTCGGGGAAAAAGCGAGAGAATAACCCCAGAAATACCACTGGAAGGTGACGACGGAGAACGAAGCCATACAAGCCCAGATCATACTCAGAGCTGACTTGCGGCGCGCGAGACCGGAGTAAAGGAAAGCGAGACCAGGAATCATGACCATCACCATGGCGGAGGACACGATGATGAATGCTTGATCTCCGGATTGAAACCATTTGTTCAAGTTTTCCGTTCCTAGCCAACAGGTGAGTCATGGGAAGCCAAAACGACCAACAAAGGCAGAGTAACTAACTGGAATCGCCACCGATATCGTTGGTCGTGAGAGCCTCGTAGTCGGAGGGAGCGCCCGTCCAGTTGTAGGACGCATATTGCGGGATAAAGACGCCAGGTTTGTCCGACATGGTGGGAAAGAAAAACTATCGAAGGTAACACGAGGAATTGACGGGTCGAAATGAGCTTCTGACGGGCGTTGTGAATGTGAAGTCACCACCGCCGAGGAATGTTCTCAGGCCGAGAACAGGCGGGTGGTGGAGAGGGTGTAGTTCGGGTGGGTGGCGGCAAGAACTGCAGAAGCGAGATCGGGATCGAAGATCGAAGACGGGACTGGCGAAATAGAGTATCTGCAAGGGCGAAAGGGGGAGAGAGAAAGGGAGGTGACACAGAGAGGAGGTTTGAGAAGTAATTGGAATGGAGGGAAGTGACAGAGACAGAGAGAGAGGGAGAGGGAAGAAGGGCGAGTCGATTGAAGGACCGGCAGCGGGTATGTAAGACGGAATGCCGTGAAAGGAAGAGAGAGAGAAAGAGAGGGAAAGGATGCTGCAGACTGTCGACTCCGCCGGATGTGGAGAAGGGAAAACCGCCACGGGGGGCGCGGAGGGCGTCGACTATATAAATAAGAGTGCGCTGACTTGAGGAATGAAGCAGAAGATGGCCGATGAGTGGAGCGGCCGGGCAGACAAGATTCTGGAAAGGCACCGGAGTGGGACCTCAAACCTGCGACGAGGTTGCGCTTTTACCAATCCGACCCGATAGCAGCGATAATAGGTTGGTGTCAATGCCCAGGCTGGAAGAGGAGAGGAAAAGTCCCTAAACTTTGCTCAAACGTTGGGCGCGGGTGGAGCACCTCGACCGTCGATAATATCTATTAGTGATGACTTTTTGGCGGGTGGATGATAAGTTGATATGCCCTTGAAACTTCATTCATTCAATTCATTCCAGATTAGCCTCGCGTGGGAGAGAAAGAAGACCCTAGGAAGATTTAAAAGGGAACACGAAAAAAGTCTAAATTTCAAGTCTCCAGTAAATAGTCAGAAAAAGAAAAGGGAAATAATCAGAAAACAATAATTTATTCTCTTTCCACCACGCGAGGGAGGCGCCAGAAAATAATTCAAATCAAATAAAATAAAGATAGTGAGAAAAAAGGCCCAAATGGGAGGCCGCTGAGTCGGGCGAGAGATAAGGTGAAAAATCAAATGGCATAAAATAAACTCGGGCCCGACGATCATCCACCAGAACCCATTCAGAATCCACTGGTTGCGTTTCCTGGCGAACGGCGGAGGAATGGATGCCGCTGCTGGTGCTGCTGTTGGTGATGGAACGAGGAGGATAGACTTTTCTTTGCTGCGTGTGCTTCACTGTCAAAGTTGACAGATCGTGAGAAGTTCTTGACAACCACACACACCTATACAAACATCAATTGTGTTTCCCAATTACCTGTCAGTTAGTGATTTCTTCTGCAGTGAGTGCAAAATGAGTATTTGCTCTGGGCCCTTGATTGGGTCCGTGGCAAAACTGCCGCCCTCGGCCAAGACCGCCGCCGATTGAGGAGGACTGCAGAAATTATTCCCAAAGAAGTCGGTGGCGAAAACTCCCCGTCATATTTCCACTTTAGCCCCGGCTGGGTCCTGGTATACTATCCTCGGTTAAGCCTGTTGGATTGATCTGTTTCATCATCATCATAAGCAGCAGCAACAGCAGCAGCAACATCATCATCATCTCAACTCAATTCATATTGAGTGTTCATTCACACAGCCACCCTGCTCAGGTTCCAGTGGATAGGGAAGAGCGTCGGTCCAGGCCCCGACCCATTGAATCTGCAAAGTCGTCCCAGGGGAGAGGGTTCGTATAGCCTCCCGGTTAGGTTCCATGCTGTTTCCCTGCTTGTATAGTAAGCTGTAATCTCCAGTATACGGTATGGTATATGGTATCAAATGTGTCGATGATGCCCACGCGACAGCGAGTAAGTGGACTGTAGGACCGCATAGACCAGCTCATCCCACCGCATAGTCTACTGCTTCCTGGATCATCATCTCTCCGTATGCAGAGAGGAGGAAAAGGGAGAAGAAACAGAGCAGCACCAGCGCAATCCGGGGGCCTCGGGCTTGGGGCTTCTGTTTACTTTATGTATCTACTCGATATGCGCGCACGCGGAACTCCGACAGCTGGCGATTATCTATCACGCATACCCTCAAGCCCAATGATAACAGACTGAACACATTCCAGAGCTACTACAAAGCGCATACTCGCGGCCTGGGGCCCTATCTGTTGCCGAGTTGGGCCGGCAAAGGAATGGGCAACCTGTTCCAGATTAGTAGATAGATAGGGGTACTGATTGTGTTTGATCTGGCTCGAATTTGAGGCAGACAGGCAGACAGGCAGGAAGGCACATGCTTGCACCCTACTTCGTCTCACATGCAGAAATGCGTCTTTCATGTAAGGAAGAGTACAACGTACCAGGGAAATAATAAAACCAGTCTGATACATCCATCCCAAAACAGAAATGAAAGGGATATCCTACTTTTCTATCCATCTATCCATACTAGGCAAACCTGAAGTAAACTGCCAATTTGAAGCCAAGACACAAGACAACAAGATCATCACGTTTCATGCTCAATCCATCCAGTTCCCCACGACCAGAAAGCCTAACTATTCCGTGGAAATCGGAAAACTCAAGATGACCTTTCTTATCAGTTCCATTTTCTCTCAGCTCATCACCACTCCGAATCGATTGGCTAGGAGGTCACGATAAGGGCAGCTGCACGCCACCTGCATCCGGGGTGGGTCCCGCCGGAGCCCGATCCGGCCTAGCTCAGCCTCGAACAGCTCCACCGCGCTGATAACGACGAAGCTTGGCCAATGATAGTCCGCTTGTCATTCCTGTTTCACCCGATGTCCGCTCGGGAGTTTCAGGAATTGGGTAGGCCTGAAGCGGGCGGACGGGCGGGCTTTCGAGGTTGGGTCGCGCAGTTCGCCGGTTCGGAGGTTTGCCAGGCTCTAGTCCAGTAGCAGTTAGATAGAAGAGATACGGGGACGGGATGAATGAACTTGCGAGTCGGGCTGCGTTTGCTTGGCTCTTGGCTCGGAGGATTCCGATGGTGAGGGTGCTGCGATGCGGTGTGTTGCCTACACAGAAATTTACATGGAATAGATGTGTGTGCTGCAAATCAATTGTCTTATGGTGTGTACTCGACTGCTTCTAACTGGCTAGTTATTCAGATCGGAGGATATGTCACTCTGCTTACTCTCCCCCATACGATGATATCGCACTTACGTCTGTATGACAGTCCCAGACCGGGCGGACAAATGCACGCAAAAGCATGGATGGGTACCTCGACTAGCAGTCGCGTGGGGTGGGACTACACTAGGCAACCCAACCCGGCTTGCCTATCAGCAGCCGACAGAAGTCCCGAGTCATTCTACGGTAGATAATAGTTAGTAGATACTAGATAGTAGATAGATGATCCTACATCGGACCTGTGCTCCCCGGGATCCCTGGTGCCCTGCTGATAGCACGTTACCCAAACCGGTCTAGCAGTAGTTCATAAGTAGATGCTGTCCCCAGTTTCCTCAATGCTTTAGTTCAGGGGAAGAGTAGAACGAGATAAGAAATACTGGAGATAGGAACTACACTAGTACCTGGTGTCTATCTTTAGTTTCTTTTAAAAGAAAAAAAAAAGGATTCCTTCCATGTGCTCGTGTCTCCATATAACTAACCTGACCCCGTCTCCGCTGCACTACTAGTAGCTCCCTTATCTCTGGGGTTTCTTGTCGAGTAAAATGATAGTATTCTCTATCAGGTGGGTTGGATGTTACTGCATATCGTGTAACTAAATTGGTTGCTGATCTTTGACTCCTTACTAGTTCCTGCATCTTAGTCTGAACGATGCTTATTTGGACTACTCCTTTGTGGGGGTGATATATACTCCCTGCGTGGGTGGCCATGCATGACCTTGTCCTTTCAAGACATCACAGACATGCCATAACATGACACAATGGCCCGTGTGTATGCCACGACTCAAATATTGACTGCTGCATGACATGAAAATAAACTACACATCCATGTCGACCACGTGCCCTCACAGACCCCCTAGGGAACCACACTATCGGGTCCCGGTTCATGCCACGGGGCAAGCTACGATGGTGATCGACTGAGGAGACACAAGGGCGGAGTGGACGATGAGCCCATCACCGGAGCTAAAATCATCAACGGTCACGGGCGCGCGCCAATCATGGGTTTGCCTGTCGCCTGTTCGTTGCAGGGACCAATGGCCAGACACCATTACCTAACATTTATTGTCCTGCCAGCCCTAATTCGACGTCTGCTGCAGATGCACGGCCATGAGTCTGTCCCAGATCATTCTTTCAGTCCGGAGAATGTTCTGCTTCCGGAGATTCATTAGAAATGGGCACCAGGGTCCGGGCCAATCGCCCCTTGCGGATTTATTCTGCGATCTGGGTTCGGGGTTGAGCATGCCGAGACGACGGGAACGGATCTTGTTGCCGCTGGTATGCTGTTCCGCTTGATGGTGAACCGTGATGGTATCAATAACCACTCTACCTTATTACTTCCACGGCTTCTGCTGAAATGCAATGTTTGCTGGTAAGGGTCTTCGCTTTGAGGTGCCGAGCATTTAAAGCCCTAGCTTATCCCGACGTTGGTCCTCTCCCTACTCTGGCCCCGAATTTCCGGGATCCCGGTGTTTCATGCGCCCGTTCAATGGCCCTACATAGTACCGGTTCCTAAACATACATACCGGTTCTTGAACCAGCATACGTGCGCTTGGATGTGATACCTCAATTTGGTGTACCTCTCCCTGCAGCTGACCGCTGTATGCTGATGAGGAATCTGAGAGCCAAAGCACGTCAGCCAGCTATACTTAGCTCACTAACTCCCAGTCAAACCACTGTCGGTTCTGGCAAATATATATATCATCGACAGCATTTCCTTAGTAGCGAGCCTACCACTAGTATTAGTAACGGCAAGTCCGCAGTACTATGCACATGTAACACTGGGTTACTACTACTAAGTACTCATCTAAAGCATCCTCATCATGGTTAGACTACTGTTTCCTAGTGATTGTATCCAGCAGACCACACATATTGCTGTGTTGTTGTGGCTCATATATTAATTTACTGGCCAGTATTTCAACAACTGGCCTGCTGGCCCAATGGTAAGGCGCTTGACTACGGATCAAGAGATTGCAGGTTCGAGTCCTGCGTAGGTCATTCTTTTTTGCTTTGTTTCTTTTTTCTCCCTCACCCTCAATGTTTTATTTTTTAATGCTACGGATACCTACTAGCTTTCCAATCTACACACTGGTTTAATTTACTGCCCAAGTAGATTGTCAATACTGACATCAAAGTATAACGGAAACATCTATACATATAACCTATAACCTAATCTATTAGACATTGACACTGTATCCCACCCCTACCGTGCCCCGTCGTTTCAACGCCATATAATACTTGCGGGCCTCATCGACCCAAAATACGGTACTCGAAATACACACCAGCCGGAACAAATGTCCAAAGCCCAAAGGTTCCGTCTGGAAGATGCGCTGCAAGAAGGGAAGGTAAATCACACACGCCTGTCCCGCGAGCGAGCCCAGAACGGCGTAGTTGAACATCTTGTTTCCAAAGAGAGAAATTTCGCCACGGAGCACCGACTTGCCCTCACTGCGGCAGGTCAATGCGTTGAACATGTCGAACAGCACAAAGCATGTAAAGGTCATCGTGGTGTCGTGGGCTGTCACCACGCGGGAGTGTACGCCGGGGTTGGCGGTGTCATCGGCATCGCCCATTTCGTGAATGTAGATGGCCAGAGTGCCGAGCATGATCATCATCGCGGAGGTGAGCACCCGCTGGACGAGTGGCCTCGTGAGTACACGGGCATTCCGGGGTCGCGGTGGCCGATTCATGATGGACGGGTCAACGGGTTCCACGCCCAGTGACTGTGCCGGGGGACCATCCATGAGAATATCTAAGAGTCGAAATTAGCAGTGTTTCAAGCATGTTAGGGAAGATAAACTCACTGATCCACAGAATTTGCATGGCGTTCAGCGGATTCTTAAAGCCCAAGGTGGTGCTCAGCAACACAAGACTCAGTGCCGCAACACTGGTACTGAGCTGAAAGGTAATGAAATTCTGGATATTGTAGAAGATGCCCTTGCCCTGCTCGATGGCACGCAAGATGGTCGAAAAGTCGTCGTCTGTCAAGATCATATCCGCTGCCTCCTTGGCAACATCAGTGCCCAGCTTGCCCATCGATATACCAATGTCCGCCTTCTTGAGTGCCGGGGCGTCGTTCACGCCATCGCCGGTCATAGCCACGACATCGCCGCGAGATTGCAAAGCACGCACAATCTTCATTTTATGGTCCGGGCTGGTGCGCGCAAAGACCGAGGTCGAGGATATGGCTTGCGCGAGCTCCTGTGTGCTCATCCGATCGATCTCATGCCCATTCATGACGGGCCGTGATCCGGGAGCGTCACTGACCGGCATTCCTAGTTTCTTCGCGATGGCAACAGCGGTCGTCTCCGCATCTCCCGTGATCATGATGACCCGCACTCCTCCAGCCATGAGACGCCGGATGGACTTGTGAACGTCCTTGCGCGGAGGGTCGTTCATGCCCACCAAGCCTGCAAAGACTAGTCCATTGTACCGGTCATCGTCATCACTCTGGCTGGACTTGGACACGGGCGTACCCGATCTACTGCCAAACGCTCTTCCTCTCGAAGTATCCCTAACTGCTCCACTGGCAAAAGCCAAGACCCGCAAGCCCTCTGCCGCCATGTGCTCAGCTGCGTGCCTTATCGATTGGCGCCGTGGTTCATCCAGGATAACCTCACGGCCATCCTTGGTCAAGTAAGTATCGCACCGAGTCAATACCTGCTCGAGGGCTCCCTTGATATAGGCCACATTGTCACCGGAGGTACCGTTGCCAATGATCACACCCATCCATTTGCGCTCAGAACTGAACGGAGTTTCCGCGACACGGGCGCTGATACGCTCACGCACATCGTCCTCGCCGAATGTATCCAGCAAGTCCAAGATAGCCACGTCAGTAGGTTGGCCAACCCATCTGCTACGGATACTTCCAGAAGCCCTGTCGTCCGTGGAGGACAAGACCGCGGCAGAAGAGGCGCTAGCCGGAGAGTTGGCATGCACGCGAGATAGTCTGGCATTGTTGGCAATGTTACCGATTCGTAGAACGGTCCGCGCTGCAGGCCCGGGGGTCAAGGAGGAAATATCATTATGGACCTCAAAAGGCTCGGGGCAGTCAAAGTGCCACATTTTGGTAACTGTCATGTGGTTCAGAGTCAGAGTACCGGTCTTGTCACTGCAAACGACGTTTACGGAGCCCAGCGTTTCGACACTCGGCAGCCGGCGCATGATAGCTCCTCGCTTAGCCATGCGCAGCACTCCCAGGGCCAGCGTCACGGTAACGATAATAGGGAGGCCTTCTGGAATCGCAGCCACCGCGAGCGAAACACCAATGGTGAACATCTCGAGGAGCTTGCGACCCTGGATCAAGCCAATGAGAACAATCAGTCCGATGACACCAAACGAGATGTAACTCAACTCCTGGCCCAAACGGTCCATTGACAGCTGGAGAGGCGTCCGCGGGCTTTCAATTTCCTGGAGGGAGGCGGAAATGCTTCCAAACTCCGTCTTCGCACCGGTACCAATCACAATTCCCTGTCCGTATCCCGACCGAACCAGCGTACCCATGAAAGCGATGTTGTGTTGTTCATTCAAGCGGATGTCGGCTCCCACGGCGCCACTGGCCGGGGCGTCGTAGAATGGCGATCGAGGCGGGCTCACAATCTTAGGGGAGTGCGAAGGAAGGTGCTTCGGGCTGCGGATGGCATCGGGGTACTTGACAACCGGTTCGTTTTCGCCTGTCAAGTTGGACTCATCGATGGAGAGATCCGTGGCGGCAGTGATCCTGATGTCTGCCGGAATGCGGTCTCCGACGGTGAAGAGGACCAGGTCACCTGGCACGAGTTCCGTGGCAGGCACGGTAGTCGAGGCCTTGACGGCAGTGGAGATGGACGGGCTCTTGCTTCGCAGCTCCTGCAACTCCATCTCCGCACCAGGAGCCGGCGGGATGGTGCCGGCGACTGGAGGGCCATTCAAGGGAACATCGCGAATCAGATGCGCATGGTGCGGCACCAGACGACTCAGTGCCTCCAGAGACTTTTCCGACCGATATTCCTGAACGAATCCGACGGTGACCACAATTGTGACTGCGAGGGTAATGCTGACTGCATCATCGTAGTTTCCCATGAAAAAGGAGATCGCAGCGGAGGCCAAAAGGAGGAGGATCAACGTCTCCTTAAATTGCTTGAGAAAGCGGAGCCATATGGGCTCCGGTTCTTCGTGCGGGAGTTCGTTGGGGCCCTCTTGTGCCAGGCGCACCTCGGCCTCGGCGGGATTGAGGCCATGGACGAGGGAGGTCTGTAAGCGCTCTGCGGTCTCTTGAGGATCTAAGAGCGAATATGTCGAGGTAGACGTCTATCCGCGCAAGGCGACCCAGTTAGCCGCGCCGACGGAAGGGAGACGGCAGAGGGGACAGATTGCAAGAGACAAGTAGTTGGACACACGGAGAGGACCAAAAGACAGACAGGCAAGCCACTTACAGAAGGGGAAGTACTGGAGCGCACGTCCGCCGGGGTTGTCGACCTCGGTCTCGAATCGGGGATCTGGGCATTATGGAAAGGGAGCGCAGGCGTTGCGGACCTTGACATCTCTCATGCTTTGTCGAAACGGAAAATAGGCCCAGGTATATATCAGACACCACTTGCTAGCATCCCGTCAGGAACAGTAAGGAAGGAATAAATTAATTAAAGAGAGCGAGGTGTTCTTATTTTCAGGGGGAGGAGGAAATAAGATGTGAGAGTAATCACTCTGGGGGAAAAATCGACAAGGCCGGCGAATGGGCAAAGCCACAGTCTCTCCTGGTGGTTTGACGCGAGTTGGCCGTAACTGCATCAATAATCGTCAATTGGTTAGCCCAGATGGGGGGGAAAGGTCGCTAAGTGGACACGGCGACCAGGGAAGGGAGAGAGGAGGACTGGGCCAGACTTCGGGGCAGAGTAGACAGAGAGGAGAGAACAGAACCCACCCGGTCAAGTAGTTTTAGTATTTTTGTCGATAAGAACACAAAGAAACCTTGTCTTATTGAGAAATCCAGATCATGACCCGGAGCAGGTAATCTTCAATCACGACCTTCTCCTTCAGGCATTGAGTTTCTCCTTGGGATTTCTTTTTCTTCTTTCTATTGACGGCTTCATCCTTAGGCGGTGCGGCTGATGATGCCTTGCCCGATGCGGCCTAGCCTTATCGGATGACACGTTGTTCCGAGCTGTCCATATCGGGATTAGTGGAATGAGCATGAATATCCCATTATGAGTCAGCACAGCTCAGGTGATCTATGAATGACATAAGCTAGACTACTACACGTGACCCCAGCCACATCAATACGCACCAATCAGAGACGGGAAGAAGAAGAGGAGGCTGGGCAACATAACCTAACCTTACCAGTTACCACTCCCTTCCTCCCCAGCCTGAGTAACCTGGCAGTCAATCAACTGTTGCTGGCCGGTCGACGCGCCTTTCCTTCTCTTCTACTCTTTCCCTTCCCAAAGTTCCCACTTCTTGTTTCCCTCCCACCTTTTGCGACTTCGAACCTTACAATCTCCTCCCCTCCAACCCCAGCCCCCTCTCTTTTTCTCTCCTTCCCTGTCAACTCCCCATTTTCGCATCCCACTATCGCCAATCCCTTTTTGGCTTCTTTCTTGTTTCCCCTCCAACCATCCGTTGTAGGGCGTGTTTGTCTCTTCACGATCGCATCTTGCGCGATCCTTTATTCATTACCCAAGCTACCCGTCGTCGGACTGAACGGGAACCATACTGTGGACTCCTTCCTCGCTCACTGCCCGTAGGGGGCCGAGCACCCGTCGCTGATCCTTTTTGTTTTCTGGATACGGCGCGCGTCCCTAGGCGTTTTGGTTGCCCGGGACTTCCACCACCACCACCACCACCAACAGCCACCGCTCTGGGTGGGGTATTCTTCTTACTGCACTAT